AGGACTTTTTTGGAGATAATTTGGCATCAGAATTTTGAACTGAATTTGAACTCAATAGGGTATGAATTAGTTTCCCCTTGGTTATATGTGACTACATTATTTTTTTCCAAGAAAAACAATTTGAAAGCCTTGGAAGAAAGCTCAAAAATCCTCTTAATATATCAAATAACTCTTACAAAACAATTCTTTGATGTTAAGTGTGAAAGTATCAGAAACAGAAAGATTAAATTTCCTATGGGACTTTTCTACATGAATGGAAAAAGTGTTTAGTAAAACACCTTTTGGGTTTTCCTAATCCCAAAAGTATTTTAAAAGGAAAACATGGATTTAACAAATCCAAGAGCAGCTGAATTTTTACATCGTTTATGCAGACATCTTGTGTTACTTAACTCCTTTTCTAGTTCCTTTAAATATATACTTTTGATTTTCTCAATTGTGTCAAGTTGGTTTTAGTTTTCAATGAATATTTTCAAGTGAAACCAATAGAATGTCCAGAAGTAATTGGCAACAAAGATGCTACTTTAAAGATTTTTCTGAATTTAAAGTACAATATGCTTTCCTCTTTACACCACACCTTTCTTACTAAACATGACTCTCATTCCAATAGAATCAAAGCTAGCTGTGAGAAAATTGGGATAAAGTCAAAATTTGTTGGCTATGAGTAGAGTTGATCCTGCATAAAGTACACAGTATTTTTCTTAAAGGATCAATGTTATTTTCCTGAATTTTACTATTATTCAATCCCTTTTTCCCCCCGAATTTTTGTAGTGGTTTCTATGATTCACTTTCCTTTCAAAGAAAATAGTGTTCATGAGGAAGGTAACTAACACTTATTGAATGTTCACTTTGAACAATGAACTGAGCTAAGCACTTTACATATATTACATTAATATTCTCTTTGAGCTGGTGAAATAAGAATTAATTTTTCTTGTTTACAAATGAGCCAACAGTCAAAGGATGAAAGTTAGTACTCAGGAAATAGTGGAACTGAGCTTTAATTTTGACTCTTCTTTCCATACTTAGAGCTATTGCTCTTTGTAAATGTCTGGCTTATTTTTTTTCTCCTGGCACTTAAAGATGGATTTTCCTAATGACCTGTACTTAGCTTTCTTGTAGTTATGGTTCCCCTTCTGCAAGGACATCCAATCCTAAGTTTTTACTTAAAACTTCTACATAGATGATTCCTATGCATCTGTGCCTTTTCCATCATCACCGATGTCAGGTTCTAATTGAATTTAAACTCAATTTTACAAAAAAAAATTACTTAAGTATATAGATAACTTTTGTCTGACATACAATTAATAAATAGCGGATATAAATATTAATATAGCAGATGTACTAAAATTTTAATTTCACATTTTATATGGGTGCATTTTGTTTTTAGACCCTAATAGAGAAAAATATCCTGAGATGAAAGTGTTCTGAGCTTATGCTGTCATTTTAACATTTGCTCCCCTTATACACATGCATGCTTATAAAGAAAGTGTATTTTGACCTCTTTTACTGAAACAGAATCCTACAGAGCATCTTTTCTATGACATATGAGATTCTTTGGAAAGAGTACAACTGGATTTTCTCAGCTTGTATCTCCAATGAGACCAGCAGGAGAGAAAATGGGCCAGCAATCCATTTTCCCAGTTAGCATGCCTCCCTTTCATTATTTCAAATGTGTGGTCCCTTGTAAAATCTTATACTGAACTTTTATTATATTCAGTTCCTCTGCTGTGTAAGATTTTCACACATAAAATAGGTTCAATTATAAAAAAATATGTTTCTATTACAGACTGTAATAAAACATTACATTATGGTTATATGAGCACTCAAATCTCAACTAGTGATAATAGAAACCATTACACACCATGTGGTAAGCTTCACACATAACCATCCATGAAGCTAATCCTAAACCTTTTGGTAATTTGGCCAAATTCCTCTACTGCTATCCTTGTTAACTGTATTTTTTAATATAATAGTTTCTTAAATAGAATGTAATACAACAATAAGTGCTTATTTTAAACCCATCATGAACATTTTTGAGCTTTTAATAGATGTCATGAATGTTCAGAAAATTCAAAATTATTTTCTCTTTAGTAGTCTAAATATTTAAATTATTTTAAGTAGCACTTTATTTAAGGCTCTGAGTTATCTTTTTTAAAGATAAACTTTTAATTTGAAAGTTATTTTAAATTTATATAAAAATTTCAATGATAGCACAGAAGATTCTTTTATACTCTGTACTCAGTTTCCTCTATTATTAATATCCTACAAATGTAGCACATTTGTCAAAATTAATGAAACTATATTAATATGCTATTATTAAATAAATCTTAAAATCCTATAGCTTTCTTGTTGTTTTTGCTGGGTTTTTTTATTATTTTCTTAGTTTCTAGCACTAAAGATGATTTAGGCTTATCTTGTATATTTCTTTCCCCAGCCCAAGAGTTAGCCATTGGTCAAGGGAACCCAGGGCCTGATTGATGGCGAATGGTCTTAGACACCACTAATTGAGGGCTTTCTGTTCTCAGTGACATGGGAGTCCTCTTGGCTGAAAGGGCAGGGAAATATATGTGTGTGAGCATACACATATATCTTTAAATATTTCTATATGTAATCTATATTAAGCTAAACATGAGCGCATTCTAAAGTTTCCATTTCTAACTCATTGTCACATGCCTAATTTTAGCCTCCTGGCTTACATCAACTGTCATTATTTGCTAAATGCTTTCATTCTAGTATATGTGTGCTAGGGTTTCAGAATTGTTAACCTGTTGGGAAATACTATCAGCTAGAGTAGTGCTTAGCTTATATACAGTTTCTTTTGGATTTAGTCTTAAGGGATTCCACTCATTTCTCAAAGTTATCTAAACCAGTACCTTTTCCCCATCTCCTTCAATTTAGTTCATTTCATGTACTTGCAATACAGTTACAATGTCATATTCTTCATACTATCTTGGGATCCCCTGACTTCCTAAATAATTATTTTTTTAAATTTGTACATGTTAAGATTTACTTTATGTGCAATATATGTCTATGGGTTTTAAGAAATTCATGATACCTTACATGATACGGAATTGTATCATACAGATAGTTTCACTTCCCTGTGGTGTTCACTGTGCTTTATATATTAACAGCCAACTGCCACCAACCAGAATTCCTGGCAATCACTGATCTTTTTACCATTTTCTATGTTTTTATTTTTTCCAGAATGTGATATAAGTGAACTCATATAGTATGTAGCTTTGTCAGACTGTTTTATTTTTCACATAGAAATATGTGTTTAAGACACATTTATGTTGTTGCCTAGTTTTATAGTTCAATCCTTTGTATAACTGAGTGTTTAATTACATGAATATATCATACTTTATCTATTCACTTGTTGAAGGACATTTACTTATTTCTTGTTTTTGATAATTATGAATAAAGTGACCATAAACTTTTTCATCTGTATTTCACTCAGTCTAAAAGTATGATTGCTGGGTCACATTGTTAGACTGTGTATTTCTATACGAAATTGCCAACCTGTTTTCCAAAGTGGCTGTACATTTTGCATGTTAACGAGCAATAAACAAGAGTTTATGTTGCTTTGCATCCTTTTCAGTGATCAATATTGCTGTGTTTTTGGGTTCTGGCCATTCTAAAAGATGTATAGTAGTATCTCATTATTTTAATTTGCATTTGCCTCATGACAAGACATGGTGAACATATGTTAATATGCTTACTTGCCATTTGTATATCTTTTTGGATATGGTCTCCATTCCATCTTTTACCCACTTTTAAGTTGCGTTGTTTGTTTTTCTGTAATTGGAATTTTAGTATTTAAAATTTTAAACTAAAAAAGATAATGTGTCCTTGCAGGTTATATTTTGAGATAATTCATCATATTTCTTTTTTCTCCAAATATAGTTTGGATATTCTTCATTTATCTCAAGCGTAACTTGTGATAGAAACCTTAACTTCAACTGGTTAGAACCGAATGGGCACTTGTAAGCCTCCGTTAGAGCTAGGTGGAGTCATGTTACTGCCCAATGGAATGCAACTGGAAGTGTTGTGTGACTCCTAGAAAGCACCCTCTAGTCTATTCTTATTGGCCTGAATGTACCTATGCTTGCTGTTACCTGAGTGGCCATCTTGGCCCTTGAGGTAGGGCCAAGGATGGTATAGTAGCAAGATCAGAAAGCCTGACTCCCAGTGGGTTCATAGAGAATTGCTGAGCAACTGCCTACCTTCGGGTATTTACATGAGAAAAATACATTTCTATCTTGTTTACATCACTATTCTTTTAGGTCTCTGTTATATGCTGCAAACCTCATTTTAACTGAAACAGAGACTATAGGTTTGGTTTATTGTGCCTTTTATGGGTCATCTTAGCACAGTATACTTTTTCTTTTGTGGTATTTTCCATGTTTCATGGCAATTTCTCATTTCACTGTTTTGCTCTCTCACTAGGATATAAGTCTTATGAAGACAGGAATCCTACTTGTCATTTTTTATTCTTAGATCCCACAATGCTTAACAAATGGTTAATATTTCCTAAATTTTTATTGGATGAATTAGTAACTCACTAAATGATTGTCATATAATTAGAACTTTTATGTGAACATCCACAATTATTTTTCTTACATGTCTTCTCAATTATTTAGAGTCTCAAGGGAGGAGACCATTATCTATAGAACCATTATCAAAATAGATTTTTAATAAATACTTCACAATAGTACCACACAACTAAACCAAACCAATTAAAATATATCAAAAGTACTGTGTGATGTAGCCTTAAGAGGGAAAAATATAAATACAAATACACATTATTTCTTTTCTTTTCTTCTTTTCTCTTCTTTAGCCAATAATAATAGCGCTATTGGAAATAATGAACATTTCCTCCAGAAAAGATTTCAGAAAAGGTAAAAAGGACATTATACAAGATACTTTATATGACTAACATTGGCCTTATCTCTAAACAATAGCTTAGAAGTGGAAGTATTCAATCTGTACCTCTCATTTCTTAAAAAAGTACGGAACGCTTCACAGACTTGTGCCTCACCCTTGTGCGGGGGCCATGGTCATCTCTGTGACCTTCCCATTTCAGTGTATGTGCTGCCAAAGCGAGCACCACATTTTGTTTTCTTTATAGCAGTTGAGAACACAAAGCAAATAAGGCCCTTGACCTCAGAGAGATAGCATTTGGTAGAAGAGCTCAGCAAAATCAGCGCAGCCCTAGACGGTGAATGCTTCAGGTAGAGAGGAAGGGAACGCGAGCTTGGCATATCCGGAAAATGCTGCACTGATTATAAGCAGTTTTCAGCACACCACGGCCAGGAACTTTTTTGTGAAGCGAAGAAAGCTTAGAAAGGCAAGTCCAGGAGAAACTGGGTTGTTTATGATTAGTTTGTTATCTCTATTACCACTGTTGTCATATTTAACATTTGTTTCAAATATCTCATTTACAACTTATAAAACTTTTTTTACTATGAGAGATCCTTGATTCGTGGTATTTCTATTGTTCTGGCCTCAAACTTTGAAAATGACTCATAGCATTTAAGACAGTATTTATACATTTTTTGCTCTATTTTATAGCCTTTGAATACATTAAACATATGCTCCTATTAGGCAAACCGCTTGTTTCTCTCTGTTTCACTTGAATCTATAACAAGATAATCAATAACTGAGCATCCATAACTTGTCAAAATATAGTCTTCGGGATCTTAAGGTTATTAAATACCAGTAAATTTAATCTTTTTTAACGCTGCATCCCCAGACATTGCTTTAACAAGTTGCTGGGTTTTCAATACACTTTTTCCACATGAAGAATAGTAGTACTGCTACTATCACCTCTCTCTCTCCCAGAAATATTGACTGAATTATTACTCTTGGTCATATGAAATTCTAAATGCTTTGAATAGGTATTGACTCATTGAATTATAACAATCCCAGGAGTTAGGTATTATTTATTATTATTATTTCTATTTTAGAGGGGGGAAACTGAGACATGGAAAAGGTAAATTACTTGTTGGCTACACTCAACTAATGACTGTTAGAATAAGAATTCTAATCAACGTAGTTTACATCTAAGACAGTCTGAATCTTAACCACTGCACAGTACTGCCTTTCTGGTGTCTCCGGAAATGTGTGATGCTATTTCATATGTCTATCTAGAGTTGCTAGTTATTTTCTGAAATTATTCTTGTAGATAAATATCTGTTCATAGATTATTGGGAAGTTTTCCTGGGGAAAAATTTATGCTTTGATCACCCTGTCCTACATAGTTGTTTCCAAAATCTCTGAAGATGGAGCTTCAGCTAGAATTTTATTGTTTGTATATCAAGGAGGATTAGGAACTGAAGAAATTTCACTATGAGATTTTCATCCCAGAGCTTGACTCTAGGAGCTTGATGGAACTGCTATTCATAATTACAATGGTAACAATTTTAGTGGTAACAATGAATAAAATCACTAGAGCAATATCTAGTTGTAGTCTGGGATGTCAGAGGATGTCAGGGCTAAGATGAATTTTTAAGAATGAATTGATCAGTAAGAATTAGAGAGGGAAAGAACAGAAAGATAACAATAAGAGCATCTTTTATCTTAGGAAGCATGAATTGTTCAACAGGAACTAGAAACCTGAATAAAATGAATAGGGAAGGAAATTCCAGGCAAATGGGTGAGCCAGATAGAAAATATGGATGAGAGAGTCTAGAAGTGTATGTATTGAATTGCAAGTGGTTTGGTGATGTTATATGAAAAGTTTAAGGTAGAAAGTGTCAAAAATTTAGATTCACCATTTGCTTTTAGCAGGTAAATGGTGAATTGCAAACACATATTTAAGACTTGTTTAAGCACAAATATATTTAACCATAGTGTACAAAAAAATCAAGATTTTTACAGAGGATCTTCCAGCCATGAGATATAGAAAGATATATAGTTAAAAGTTGCTGAGACTCCATTAAGGTCAAGTTCTCCATCCAGTGTTTCAAATAATCTGGCTATCTGGCTTTCTCAAACTATAGATTTGCCTTGGACTCTTTAAAACTGACATTCCATTCCCAAAGACATGCACATATCCAAGGGTTGTCTGTTGAAGTCTTGAGCAACTCATGAGTTTATCTTATTCCACTTTAGAATTATGGAAAATAAAGTATCCTAGAAGTACTGGTAATGTTGCTGGATATTTCAAGTGGCATCTGTTTTCTATATAGCAACATTGCATACTGGCTGTATGAAATCAATAAGGATGTAAAGTAATTCACTTCCTTCCTCTTTATTTTACCCTTATCTAATTTTAAACTCCACTCTGTGTCCAAGTTATGTTATGCCTAAATTATGTCAATACATTTTTTCCATAATTTCAGGTTTAGTTTTCCATAAATATTTATGTCATATTACTCCTTGAAATTAAACTCAGGGAATAATTTTTTTCCTTGTCAGCAATTAAAATCTTCTCCCACATGGTTTCATTTATTTTAATAAGTGTATCATTTATTTCATCTCAATATATGCTATCTACTTTAATTAGATGTCCTTTTCTACCTGAGCACTCCTGCTGTTCCCTCACCTGGAACCTTGTCACATCTCCTTTCCCCAATCTGGTCACTGAAGCCTCATCTCTTTTTTAAGGCTTAGTCCAAGGTCTGTCTCTTTCATACAGCCTTTCCGGTCTCTGCCAGATTGGAAAGCAAAATTATGAGCAGTAACACTGTAAATCATACACTTTATAAATAGAGTTACATTCAAATAGTATTCAAATTCAAATAGTATTCCACAAATAGGTAGTAGACCCACTTCTAAAAATTCTAGGGGAAAAATGTGTGTGCGCTCTCACATTCACACACATACATGCATCATAAATGTCAAAAAAAACTACATTAGAAAGGCATTCTAAAGCAGCCATTAGATTTTTAAAAAACAGACTTTTATCTTGGCATACGTTTGGCAGTATTACACTTTGTTCAGATTTAGATGGAAATCAATTGGTATTTTATTGTCATCAAAGAAGTACTGTAGAGATGCCGAAAAAGGTAGACTCCTCTATCAAACTTCCTTTTTTTAAAAAAAGAAAAAAGAGAGAGAGAGAGAGAAAAGCTGGGAATATGAAGCACTAAAAGTGCCCAAGATCAAAATCAATCCTGTGTGGTATCCTGGGTGGAGCCAGGAAGGGAACAAAAGAATAATGAAGAGTCCTAAAGAGAAAAAAATGTCTCTCTCTCCCTCTCCCTCTCTTTCTCTTCCTGCATATTTAAGCACCTCTGGAGAACTGCAGCCCTGTAGCTTCTCTCATTTCTATTGACAGGTCTATATCGTCAATAAATCATGTAGTTGCATTTCTACATGGCCTAATTTATTCCCTAGACATTGCTGCAAGCAGGAAGCAATACACTGAGAAAAGATGGAAGTTCACAGTGCTTGCACTCTGAGTTGTCCTGAAAATAAAGAAATCAAGGTAGCCAATGGCTTAGTTTGGTCTCCTTGCCCTTGTCAGGGCTGCCCATAGTGGGATGTAGAAAAGGAATTCAACACCAGACCTCATTGATCTTACTTGCCTGTGATCCCCTGTACTAATTAATGTGCTATCACCCAAATTAGCAGCTAATTATATTGTCTCTTTAATTACTATTATTTTTTTTTTTTTTTACTCTTTCAACTGCATTGGAGATCCTTGAGGGCAGAGTCTATTCTGCAGAACTATTCCTATTATCTCAGTGTTTAACATAATGCTGAATACAAAGAAATTGTACCATATGTTAACCAATCCACACACTGGAGAAGTCCATTGTATTTAAGAATGTATTTTACTAAGACATAATATTAATAGTTCTACCATCAGTAATTCAGTTTTTATTTGAGTCAGTTAAATTTCCACTAGATAAAAATAACATTAATTGTGCACTTATTATGTGTAGAGTGTTTTCACATATGTTATTAACTTAATTATCACAACCAGTGCTGGATTAAGCACCAGACCATCTGTGCCATTGCCCAGAGCACCATTCTGAGAGGCACTAAAAATCTATGAGCACTGAAATATCACTGGAATACAAAGCAATTTTTATTTATTAGGAGTCTTCTAAGGTCTAATTCTCAAAAGGTTTAAGAACCAGCAACGGAAGCATCAGCTGGTAGTTTGTCAGAATTGCAGTTCTGCTGGACTAGAATTTATCTGCATATTTACAGGATACCAAGGACCACAGTGAAGTGTGAAAACCAATTTCAGGGTTAGTGTGTGGTTAGAGGTACCAATTTTATAAACTGCTTAGGGGGACTTATATCCCATGAGACATGCTCATTTTTGCCCACTAAACTGACTCTTTGGGCTGGTGAGTCTAGCAATTTCAGGGCTTTAACTTTTGCCAAGCAAAGTATGGGAGTTTAAGGCTAGAACTAAATTGCTCATAAGAGAGCAGAGCCTGTGTATTGCTAATAACACTAGCAACTTGACTTTCAAATCAGAATGAGCACAGACAGTATTCTACTTAGAATTCAAAACAAACATTAAAAAAAATAGGTGTTAAAGGGCACCTTTTCTCACAATGCATTAGGCACATGGGTCTTGTCATTGTTCTTCAAACTCACCTGGTATGCCTGCGGACCTTTGCACTTGCTGCTCCCTCTGTGAGGCACACTGCTTTCAGGTCAATGGTTGGCTGGCTCTGTCTTGTTATTTAAGTCGCCTCTTTGGGGAGGTTTTTCTTAGGCACCCTCATTGAAATAGCCCTGTAATCTATTTCTTTACCCTACTAATGCATTTATCACATTAAAGTTTCCTTCCTTTCTTCCCCTCTCTCTTTCTTTCTTTCTTTCTTCCTCTCTCTCTTTCCTTCCTTCTTCCTTTTCATTTTTCCTTATTTGTCTTCTCCTCCAGGTTGTTTGCTCCTTGAGAGAAAGAATTTTGTCATTGCTCTTTGCTGTCATCTTTCTGCTCTGGTTCATGGTAGATACTCAAAAAATAGTTGCTAAATGAGCGAGTCAACATATAATAAAATGAAAATGATGACTAAGAAGAATATGCTAACATATACTATAATAATATATTGTATATTATATTGTATAATATATTGTACATTATATTGTAATATAATGTATTGTTGCATGACTTTGCTCAAGTTACTAAGCCATTTA